GAAAGCTTGGCCCTAAAGGTTCCTTTTGCACAAGAGATAAGTGGCAGCTGTTTGTCCCCTGCCCTCCGGCCAACCGACCGCCTGCGGAGAGTGAAAGAAAGAGCTCATCGGAGCCTTAAGTCCCAACTAATGCTAGGTGCGATTAGCCGTGGCTAATGATGTCCCTGGAATGTATGCGAAGGCGGGTCACTCTCGGACGTTGCCCTGGTTGGTGCCCATAAAGAGCACCATGCCGATGCAATCTGGAAGCGGCAGTTCCCCAAAAGGAGCGCAACACAGGCATTGCTACGGTGCTTATTCCAAACCAACAAACAAAACATCCAAATGGGTGCCAACAACAAATCCTGGAGCGCATCGCAAAGACATCCAAACTCAGTCGCCATCAGTATGCAAAGGGATCTAAGAAGAATGAGAGAATGAAGTTGGTACTAGCATAAGCTCTCTTAGCCTTAAATCCATTTCATCAGATGTAGTCCTTTGTCTACCTACGCAAACAAAGGCTTCCACCTTTATTATCTCAGAGTGCAACTACAGTCTGAATTAATATATGGCTCAGTGCTATGGAACGATGAGAGTTGTAGTTCGGAGAGGTTCCAGCCCTCTTTAGCAGGTAGTATCATGCTATCAGCGTTTCTCAACTTGGGGGTCAGGAGTCCGGGGGGGGGGATCATTACGGGGTGTCAGAGGGGTTGCCAAAGACCATCAGAAAAAACAGTATTTTCTGTTGGTCAAGGGGGTTCTGTGTGGGAAGTTTGGCCAAATTCTATCATTGGTTGGGTTTAGAATCCTCTTCGATTGTAGGTGAACTATAAATCCCAGTAACTACAACTCCCAAATGTTAAGGTCTATTTTCCCCAAACTCCACCAGTYTTCACATTTGGGCATATTGAGTATTCGTGCCTACTTTGGTCCAGATCCATCATTGTTTGAGTCCATAGTGCTCTCTGGATGTAGGTGAACTACAACTCCAAAACTCTAGGTCAATGCCCACCAAACCCTTCCAGTATTTTCTGTTGGTCATGGAAGTTCTGTGTGTAAAGTTTGGTTCAATTCTATCCATGGTGGAGTTCAGAATGCTCTTCGATTGTAGGGGAACTATAAATCCCAGCAACTACAACTTCCAAATGTCAAAGTCTATTTTCCCTAAACTCCACCAGTGTTCACATTTGGGCATATTGAGTACTTGTGCCTAGTTTGTTCCAGATCCATCATTGTTTGAGTCCATAGTGCTCTCTGGATGTAGGTGAACTACAACTCCAAAACTCTAGGTCAATGCCCACCAAACCCTTCCAGTATTTTCTGTTGGTCATGGAAGTTCTGTGTGCAAAGTTTGGTTCAATTCCATCCATGGTGGAGTTCAGAATGCTCTTTGATTGTAGGGGAACTCTAAATCCCTGCAACTACAACTCCCAAATGACAAAATCAATCCGCCCCAACTCCATCAGTATTCAAATTAGGGCATATTGGGTATTTGTGCCAAATTTGGTCCTGTGAATGAAAATGCATCCTGCATAAAAGATATTTACATTATGATTCATAACAGTAGCAAAATTACAGTTGTGAAGTAGCCATGAAAATAATGTTTGAATATAACGTAAACGACTCCAAATCCTGTCTGTTTCTGATATTTCTGACATTGCTGTAATTTCCTGTCTTGCTTCAGTAATTGTTATTAGGCTCCTCCATGAATAATTGGCTCATGTGTTCGAAAGGCACCTCTTCTTTTGGGAATTGTTTGGTGGTTCCAGCCATTGAATACAGCCTGCTTGAACGCACAAGTTTGAGAAACAAATTGGAGACATTGCTGTATCCCATTGCCCTTTGCAAGAAAAATAGATAGATTTGCAGGATGCAATGTCCACAATGCTACCCTTTTTAAAATAATCTAGTCCTCTTCCACAAAAGTGGGAGCAATTAATGAGTGCCTGTATCCAAAGTTGGGAAAAGTTAGCTTACCAACTGGGGCTTAATATTGGAGCATCTTCGCTTGTACCAAGTTGCTGAACTGGGATGATGAAGTGCTTGACGGGGTTACACTCCCCCTGAAGGTGCAGATTCGCAGCTTGGGAGTGATCCTGGACTCATTGCTGAGCCTGAAACCCCAGGTTTCAGCGGTGGTCAGGGGAGCTTTTGCACAATTAAAACTTATGCGCCAGCTGCGCCCGTACCTTGGGAAGTCTGACTTGGCCACGGTGGTCCACGCTTTGGTTACATCCCATTTAGATTACTGCAACGCACTCTACGTGGGGTTGCCCTTTGAAGACTGCTCGGAAACTCCAACTAGTCCAACGGGAGGCAGCCAGATTGCTCACCGGAGCGGCATACAGGGAGCATACCACCCCCCCTGTTATGTCAGCTCCACTGGCTGCCGATCCAATTCCGAGCACAATTCAAGGTGCTGGTTTTGACCTACAAAACCCTATACGGTTCCGGCCCAGTGTATCTGTCCGAACGATCTCCCTCTACGTCCCACCTCGGAGTCTAAGATCTTCTGGGGAGGCCCTGCTCTCGACCCGCCTCTATCACAAGTGAGGCTGGCGGGGACGAGGAGCAGGGCCTTCTCGGTGGTGGCCCCTCACCTGTGGAACTCACTCCCCGGGGAGATTAGATCAGCGACTTCCCTTTTTTCATTCAGAAAAAAATTGAAGACCTGGATGTGGGACCAGGCTTTTGGACATTCTGGCAGCTAAAGGAAAGACCTTGATGATGGGCAGGAATTGACGGAACGGAATGGATTTATGGAACTCTGAACACTGAGCATGAGATTGTTTACTACTGTGTTATGTATTGATGTTTTTAACTTGTTAACTGTTTAATTGCTTTTATGTATGTATGTATATTTGATATAGGCATCGAATTGTGCCTTTTTTGTAAGCCGCCCTGAGTCCCCCCTTGGGGGTGAGAAGGGCGGGGTAGAAGTAACTGAAATAAATAAATAAATAGATTACTGCAACGCTCTCTACGTGGGGTGCCTCTGAAGACTGCCCAGAAGCTTCAATTAGTCCAACGTGCAGCAGCCAGACTACTAACAAGAGCAGGGTACAGGGAGCATACTACTCCTCTGTTGCGCCAGCTCCACTGGCTGCCAGTCAGCTTCCGAGCACAATTCAAAATGCTGGTGTTAACCTATAAAGCCCTAAATTACTCCGGCCCAATTTACCTGTCCGAACGTATCCTCCCCTATGAACCATCAAGATTGCTAAGATGGTCTGGAGGGGCACTGTTCTCGATCCCACCAGCCTCACAGGCACGGCTGGTGGGGACGAGAGACAGGGCCTTCTCGGTGGTGGCCCCTCGACTCTGGAACTCCCTTCCACTGGAGATCAGAACTGCCCCTTCGATCTTAACGTTCAGGAAACAGGTGAAAACTTGGCTTTGGGGATTGGCGTTCGACGAATGAGCCATGATCCTGTGATATGGATGGAGGACAACGAATAATGATTTTTGATGATGACTGACCACTGTAATTATATGATTGTATTTTGCTATTTTAATGTTTTAGTGTGATTTAGAATATGATGTTTTAATGACTTTCTGTAATATTGATGTTGGAAACTGGCCTGAGTCCCTCGAATGGAGGTGAGAAGACCGGTATGCAAAACTGCTAAATAAATAAATAAATTCTTCTGAAAAAATCCAAGGAAAGGAAAATATCTTATGTTCTGGGTCCATCTAGTGGTGATTATCAAGTAACCTCTGTATCCTCCCAACATTTTGCACATGAAAGCCAGGATTCATGTGGCTGATATGGCAAAATTAATTAATACCAAAGACCCAATTAATCCCTTGCCATCCCACTCTAGCATCTCTATCCTCCCTCTGTTTTGGTCCTCAGCTTCCTTCAGTTGCGCCAATGCACACCATTCATTGTGCTTTGCACTGACAAGTAGGACGGAAGTGTTAAACGTCTTCTCCCAAAGTTACTTTTCCCCAGTCTTGAAAGCACCCTACGGAGGCTGCTAATTGGACAAAGAAGAACCACAGGAGATATTATTAAGTGGATCCCTTCCATATCCCATGGGCATTTCCGGTTTATTAGATTCGTGCACACTTTCACTTAGCAGTTTTGTTTACAAAAATTACAACAGCAAAACAACAGAGAGAAAACAATCTGGGACATCTAATCACCTCTCAATAAAAGATTGCCCCAGGCACTGCAAGGCTATCAATTATTATTATTATTATTATTATTATTATTATTATTTCACGCATTTCTACCCCGCCCTTCTCAACCCCCGAGGGGGGACTCAGGGTGGCTTACAAAAGGCACAATTCAATGCCAACACAAACAATAAGATAAAAAGATATATCAACAGCAATTATAAAACATTAGTATTACATTAACATTAGTAAAAGTATTAAAAAACTCAAAAATTACAGCAGCAAAACAACAGAGGGGAAACAAACAGGCACATGAAATCACTCTCAACAAAAGATTCTCCACAGGCGCTTCCAAGCCATTGAATGCTAATCAAGGTGATCAGTTGAAACATTCACAGCTAGCTCCAGCAAACAAAAGTCCTTTCTCTCACCCTCGTCATTCCACAGATATATAAACCCATTTTTCCTAGTTCCAACAGACCTCATTACCTCTGAGGATGCTTGCCA